AGAGGGTATGAACTCACATTTGCTTGTTGTTCTCGGTTTTAAAGAAAAAATGGAGAGATCTTGCCCTTTAGCAAGATTTCTTGAGTGATTTTCGAACTTAGGAAGTTTCTAAGAGTATGATCATGGAGTAAAGCTATTTAAGAAGGAGTTATTAATATTAAAATGGAAGGAGATGTTTTTGTTTGATAACAACTTACCAAGGGTTGAAAATGCTTGATGAAAATCCTTCCTTGAAACACAAGTAAAAATTTGAGATCCTTGATGGAAGAAGGAGGATGATCTTGAAAGTGTTTTGGAGAGAATTTGAAATTATGTGTGTGTGTGTTGCTAGCTCTCAGCCAAGAGAAACAAAGAAAGAGGGTGGGGGAGGCTTTGCATGGAAACATGAGAAGTACCTTATTGTATGTTGTATAAAATGCCTTGTTGTCCTCTAAACAACAATGATATGTCATGGTTTGGGTAAATTAGCAATTTTTTTTACACATGGGCCGAGAAAGGGAAGGAATGGAGGGGCTTGGGCCTTTTCTTGATTTGACTCGAGGTTAGGAGGCCCATAGTGAAGGTTTTTTGCCCATTATGCCTTTAGGTTTGTTCACGGCCCAATGAAAGTCCATTAGGTAGTTTTATGGCTCTTTAGGGTGATTGGAGTTGTTATGGCCCAATAAGGCCCATTAGGGATAAACTAAATCATTTTAGGTCCACATGGCCCAAAATATTAAGTTTTGAATATGTAGGTCCATTAGAGCCTATTTAAGGGTTCTAAGCCCAACATAGTCAAATTGGATGCTTATTGGTCCATTAGGCCTAATAAGAAAATCCTAGTCCATACTGAACTTGAACTGGGATTCTTAGGGTTTTCAAATTCATAGTTGACTATTTGAAACGTTTTGTATAAAGCTTTGAACTTTTACTGGATGAAACTTGATTGAAATTTCTGTCATTGATTTAGCATAATGTTTGATATTAGTAAGAATTATATGTATCACAACTGATGATGCTTACAGGAGTACAAAATTTCCTAGCTAAAATTGCTAGTTGTGACAAAATCCTAAGTATTTATGTCAAAAATTTGCTTAAACAAGTATTTTGGAGAAAATGGACCACTGTCAACAAATCACATAGCTTTGAGCCACCTTTTGACAAATATGGGTCTTATTTGATAATTGAAAAACGAAGGACCATTTTTCCATTATCAAGAATGTTGGATCATTTTTGACAAACCCAATTTCTAAAAAGGAAAACTTTCTATAAGCGAAAACAAAATATCTAGTTAACGAGTACACCAATGTTATTTTTGAGTTAAATGATGGATTACAAAGATTTTTGCACAAACACTTGTTAGTATTCTAGTCAGACGAATCTTCACAGTACCTATATATAAATAATAGTGTACGCTTAAAGTCCTGTAAGAGTTATAACAGAGTCTCCTGGAGGGGGAGCATGAATTTGTGTAAAGGGTATACATATAGATACAAGAAGTATACATGTACATGAACATGAAAGTAATGGATGAAATGAGAAATTGGTATTTAGTATGAACGATTTTGATTTACCTTCAGGATACACCTGCAAAGCAATGAACCAAAACTTAACCCTTTTTACTACTTTCATCAATGAATTCCAAACAAACATCTAAATGATCAAGCAAATTCTTGCTCTCCATATCTCTTAAAGGAACATCCATCCTCATGAGATTCAAATTCTTTCCTGCATTCTCGAGTACACAAAGAATCTTCTTGGAGGATAATGCGATTTTATCTGATATATCACCCTCAAAATTGTCATTTGAATACGAATCCCCCATTTACACAGTGCGATATCTTTGGTAGGAACTGAGGAACTCAATTTCCATTATGAGAAAAAGCTGATAGAAGTCGAGCTCAAAACTGATAAGATATGGGTGATTCCTTAACATAAAATGACAAACTATAGGGATCATTTTGAAATTCTGTCTATTTTTATTTATTTGTGTAGTATAGCAATGTTAACATTGTTAAGCGTCGAGTAGATATTCCAAATTACAATGTTGTAATAGAAATAAATAAAATCTGGATGCTAAAATAAACAAATCAATGGAAGTTCGTCGCTATTTCTTACATTTAACCCAATCTTTTATTACAACATTGTATTTTTGTTTCTTCTTATTGCAACATTGTTCTTCTAAATTATATCTTATCAAAGCACTATAATATGAATATCTGCCCAAATGTAGCTATAAAGAGTTGACTTTTTTAAAGAACAATTCCTTAATAAGAAATAATTGAAACATACAATGTTCTAATAACAAAAAAAAGTAAAATGCCATAGATAAAAAAAAACGAAAATAAATTAGTATTTCTTGCATTTAGTTCATAATATTTAATATGTAACTGTTAACTATACATTTTTATTATATCTTTCATCAAATTAAATGATGAACTTTTGTGTGATAGTAAATGATTATTAGTTTTTGGTTTAAATTTGAATAGTTTGATAGGCATATTGAAAAGCCATTGCTATTTTAAATCTTTATGATGTTTAGAATATGTCATGCATGTGTATGGAAGAGATGCGAACCAATGCAAAAAGATCGAATCCACTAAAATTTACAGAAGCCTTACTCTGACCAATAGCAATCAAGTTCATGTCAACATCTATTGGTTTATTCCTAGCAAGAGCTTTCAAGATTAACCCATACTAGATTTGGCAGAGGCACATATACAAGTTTCTCTATTCTTTTGGGTCTTAAGAGTGCCTTGTCTACCATCTCAGGCCTAAAATCAAATAAACATGATCAATCATAAATAAAGTAATTTATAAAAAAAATCAAAGATAATGTGTCACACCTGTTTATAGCACCAATTACATAAACACCCTTTCGTTGGTCAACACCATCTAGCTCTACCAAAAGCTGCAAAAATAAAAGAACTTTTATCTCTACGGATCACTAAGGTGTTGTTTCGTTTTGACTAAATAAATGGACCTAGGGGTTGTTTCTTTTTTTTCCATTAAGTATTTTATGGGTACAATGGCTAAATGGATAATGATGTTTGTGTTGGTGTCTTAATAGTTTTTTTTTCTTACATTAATTCAAATATTTAGGCTTAACCCTCTAAGTCATTTTGTCCATACTAAGTCAAAAGAAGACACAAATTTGTATATTAAGTGTTTAACCTATTTAACACATTAAGTAAAAAAGAAACAACCCCTTGGTAATAGCGCATGATTCATTTTTACTTAAATGGGGAACAAATATAACCATTAAGACCGATCTTAATTTAGATAAAAAAAAAAAAGGAAAAGTCTTTACTCATACAATAAAAAAACTGGTAACCTGAGTCATAACTTCCTGAACCAAAAGTACCGTCGAATCATGAGTCCCCCTTCATTAATCTCCGTGGCATTATATCATAAAGAAGCTAAAAACTACACTTAAACATTATATCAAATAATCGGAATGCTCAGTAGAAAAATTCAAAACCATTATAAAATAGAAACCATTAATTGCATATTTAAAAAGCACTCAAGTTAAAGAACCAAAATCATGTCAACAATCAGAAGATTATAAACACAATAAGTTAAAATTGAAAATTGATAGTAAAAGGGAGATTAATATTCAGATGTATAATCGAATCAAGCAATCAGTAAATTAACAATAAATCGATGGATGAATAACAAGTCTAGTATCAATACAGGGACCCATTTATATATGTGTATTCGATCATCAGATTAGTTACCCGATGAACGAATTTGCAAAAATTAGACTTATGAGTAACATCATCAAATATAAGAAAACTTAATCAATGACCTAAAACTTAAAACTTGTTAGAAAATAGTAATTTCAAGCATTCAACACAAGAACAAAAAAATCACCAGGGCGTCAGAACCAAGCTTCATCATCAATAGGAGGATCATGAATGGAGAAATCAATCCATTGAGGAGCGTTAATGTCTTCATATATAGGGCTGTAAACGAACCAAGCGAAAACGAACAAGAGCTTGTTCATGTTCGTTCGTTTAAGTTAGCCGAACAACAAACGAACACGAACGGATAAACGAACAAGATTTTCTTGTTCATGTTCGTTCGTTTAAGAAATTACCTTGTTCATGTTCGTGAACATGCTAAACGAACATAAACGAACAAACATAAATGAACAAAGATAAAAAAATATAATTGAACATATATGAACATAAACGAACATATAATATAGCAATATAATAATTTTTTTTTGAATATAAATGAATATAAATAAACTTAAACGAACATCATAAATGAATGTTCATGAACATAAATGAACGAACGAGACCATTGTTCATTTAACCAAATGAACGATAAATTTTGTTCATGTTCGTTCATTTATTAAATAAACGAATATAAACAAACTTCCTGCCGAACAATTCACAAACGGTTCGCCGAACGTTCAGTTCGTTTACAACCCTATTCATATAGTATGTCCTTTTTAATTTCGAAATCTTCCAATCGATCACAACTACATCTATTGACTCTCATGGGGATACACTCTTGGTTGATTATGTGGAGAGAAAAACCTAGGAATAAAATTAGGAATGAAATGTAAGAAGAAAGTTACAATGGGAGGTGTATGTATATTTTGGCCCATGATGATGCCAGCAAAACAATCCGAATATGTAAACTACAGGAGTGAAATGTAATCAGGACCATTGTTTAATTTAAAGTTCATTTTTAATAATTATTAGGGATTTTAGAAATCAATAAGAAACATTTTAGTTTAATTTAATAATAAAGAAAGTTCACGGCTTCATGTATAGCGATATACCCATTTCATTTGGCCTCAACCCTCACGCACATGACCCAATAACGCCTCTTTTGATTCCATCCCTCTCGCACCCCGATTCGACGCTGGATCAAATTCCAAATTCTCAAATCTTCACTCCCTCTTTTAATCCTATCTAGGGTTTCATATTTTGATTTGGTGATTATGTATAGCTGTGTTCTGAAATCGTCATTCTTCAATTGGTGAAACTGAACGCCTAGGGTTTCCATAACCCTTTTTTTTTTTTTTTTTCTTTTTCTGTTGAAAGCTAAAGTTATGGCAGAGACCTCGAGGTCACAAGTTACAATCACATTAGGCCGCAGCGGGCAGGTAAACAAGCGATATCATTCGTTCTGTTATTCTTCGGTCATATCTTGTTACTATCTTGATGAATTGATTATGCTATAACCGACTTGGTGAATAACAAATTACTTCTTTCGGGATTCTCTTTTGGTATTTATGTTGACATTGCAGCTTTTAATTTGCGTAGGTGGTGAAAAGAGCAGGAGCTGTATTGGACAGAGAGTTTTCCGATCCAGTTCCAGCTGTTGGGAGTAAACGACCAGTTAGAGATAGACTAGGAAGTAGTGCGGATGTTCAACTTGACAATAAACGGTATGATTGTAATTTTCTTTTCAACCTTCCTAGAGTTTTGATCTTAAGCTCTTCCTTTTACTTTTTATTCAAACTGGATTCTTAATTTCTTATATTGCTCTTCAAGAAAGTTTATCTAGGGTTGAACCTTATAGCAATTGATAAGGTTACTCATTAGCGATAGGAAGATCATTGATGTTAGTTAACATTATTTGCTTATTCTAGTTCTTAATTGCTTATTGTAATTCCTAATCATTTGCTTGAAGAAATAATAACATTATCATATTTAAATTCCTAATCTTTTGCATTCACTTCAAATTCAATTATCAGGCTGCGTGGAGATAATGGTAGATTGACTTCACAGAGTAGTAATTTCCTCAATGGTAATATCCTTCTCCATAATCTTTTTCATAACCTTTTGTCAAAATTCCAATCTAATTTCCAATTCCACCAATCTTTTTTCAAGATTTTCATCTTAGTAAAGACGACCTTCGATTCAAAATCATGAAACGGACACAAACCAACGGTCAACACAACACCGTTGACCTTCGTGACATGTTATCAAGGCGGGCCCGTTCTTCAACAACCAACTCTAGCTCACACGAAAGTCAAAGTCAAAGTCAAAGGGTGTCTGACTCAAGAGATGATAGAAGACGTATTCCTATGCCTATCCCTGATCCAAGGGAGAAGACACTACTACATATGGATGAGAGGCAACGGGTCCCACAAACAAGAGATGATAGACAAGGAATAATACCAAAGATTAATGGTGGAAATGGGATGACAGGGCAATATACTTCCATGAGAAGTTCAGAAGCTCCATCATCCCAAATGGGCTTTTTGGGAAATTCTTATTCTCCATGGAGTTTGGATCATATTAGGCGCAAATCACCAGAAAGGGTTTTGAATTCTACAAGGGGTTTATCTCCTCCATCAACAAGAAGGATTGAAGAGCCTCAAAGAAGAATCATAACAAGGGAATATGAAAACCCTAGAATTGAAAACCCTAGAACAATGGTATACTCAAGTAGGGATAATGGTGAAATTTCAAGGCCTTTGGGACCTTTTCTCACAAAACCGCCTCTTTCTGGTGGGCCCGTGAAATCTTTGCCACCGCCCTCATTGCCACCTGGCAGTAATCTTCAACGAAGTCAATATCCAGTTAAGCCACCTCACCTTCCTTTGTTATATATCAAATATTTGAGTAAATTACACAAATGGTCCCTATGGTTTATGGTAATTTGCATGTTTGGTCCCTAACTTATTTTTTTAACTCGGAAGGTCCCTACTGTTTGTTTTTGTTATGCGCTTGGTCCCTGTCTTACCCGAAAAAACAAACAGTAAGGACTTTCCGAGTTAAAAAAATAAGTTAGGGACCAAACGCACAAATTACCCCAAACCATAGGGACCATTCGTGTAATTTACTCCAAATATTTTGTTTCTTGATTTGAATTTATTTTTATTTGTTGTTTCTAGGTTCAAGAACATGTTACTGTAGAGGCTTTTTTGCGCTCATTGGGATTGGAAAAATATGTAATTTCATTCAAGGTTGAGGAGGTATGTTATATGTAATAATGAAAATATTATCTTTTTTTTTTTTTTTTTTTTTTTTTTTTTTTTTTTTTCTTCTCTCATGTTTTGGATTGCTATTTAGGTTGATATGGCTGCATTGAGTCAAATGGGAGATCATGATCTCAAAGAGTTGGGAATACCTATGGTATGTTTCCTTTGTAATATTTTGTGTTAACTTTTTATTTCTTTTCTAAAATAAGTAATAAATTATAAAATGAAGAAGGGTAGTATTGTAATTTCGGGAATCTTTTAACACTTGAAAGTGACCAACCTTTCACTTAAGTCATCTTGTTTTGTATCAAGTAGAAAAGAAACAACTTTATATATATATATATATATATATATATATATATATATATATATATATATATATATATATATATATATATATATATATATATATATATATATGCATTGAGTTTTTTTTATTTTTATTTTTTTAATTAATTTGTTTTGACAGGGACCTAGAAAAAAGATTCTTCTGGCACTCATTGCACGCACAAGGAGGCAAGCACGATGAGTGAGTGTAGTGTTATAATGCAACAAACACACTGTTTGCTGCAAATTCTCATTTTGTGAAGCCAAGGGTCAAAATAGTCATTTCATTTGTTGTCTTATTGTCCAAATGGATTTGTGCTGAAAATGTTAGAAAACAGGAAGTTATTTGCATGGAAGGACTCCTTCACAACTTGTACTTTTCTTTCACATTCAGGGTGTTTTGACACTTGTACATTTCTTTAAGAAATGAATGCTTCCTGATGATACCCTTTTTGGTCTTTTTGCTCCAAAGTCTTTCATTTTCATGATTTTATTTACTTTTTTTTTTTTTTTGTTTTTTTCACAGTATTATAATGTCTGTCTATTGGATTGTTATTGTATTTCATGTTTCCACTTGTTGCCATGAAATATGTCTTGATTTGTTTTGATGGGTAAAGTCAGCAAATGGGCAAAATGGTCATTTATCATATATTCAAACTGTCTATGTATGCAACAATATTTACTTGATGGGTGGAATGTGTTAATGGGTTAAGCGAGCAAAGTACCCTACATACATTTAGACACCCTTTTTCCCTTCCTACCAAATGTGCTGAGTTGGTGAAGGGTAAAATGGTCATTTATCATACTCATAGTTTGTTATGTTTACAATATTTATTAAATGCATGTACTTTTTCCACTTGATGCATGGAATTTCTGAATGGATTAAGTGAGCAAAGGGCCCTATAGGCCTATAGGCGTCTAGACACCCATGTTTCTTGTCTACCACTTCCCATTTGATTTGTGTTAATGGGTTAGGTTAGCAAACGAGTAATATGGTCTTTATCATATTGATGGGTAAAACGGTTATTTTACTCAAGGCAAACGTCATTATCCATTTGGTATTTACATATACAACAATAAATAGGAGAACAAAAAAATAGAAATATACCCTAAATGTGCTAGGATTAACTAATGTTAGGGGTTTGGTGTATATATATATATATATATATATATATATATATATATATATATATATATATATATATATAAAGTGAATATATGGCTGTCTAGTATGTAAGTTTAGATATAGAACCTCAAATACTACGTTGTTTTGATTTAAAACCAATGTTTTAAAAACCGTTTTTTTAATTGAACCGGTATGGTGACTGGTACCCGGTTTAACCGGTTCGACCGCCGGATAAACCGGTTTCTATATTTTTCATGTTTTTTTTTTTTTTTTTCCTACACATACATAAATATAAAAATTATGAATTTGATGTTTATAAGTTAAAACGTTAAAAATACACAAAAATAAGTTCTACATGAATCCAAATACATTAAAATGACACTTAACCATAGGTTTTAGTGTTTTACATCAATCCATATAAGTTAAAAAGAAAATAAAGTATAATACCGAAACGAAATATACTTTTTGATGAATACAAACACATCAAAAAAATCTATAACATTTACCATATGTTTTTATTTAAAGAAAACTAAATAGAGTTTTGAAAAAAAATCACCAAAGTTTATGATGTAAATGGTTTTTTTTTCGTGTGTTTTTATTCGGTTTAACCGGTTCAACCGGTTTTTTCTAAAAACCGTCCGGTTCAATCCGGTTCAAAAATCAATGTAAAACCGGTGATAGTTGAACCGCTCCCTCTCCCGGTTTCCGGTCCAACCGGCCGGTTCAAATCGGTTTTTAAAACATTGTTTAAAACTACGTAGGATAGCTACAAATAGTACTAAATTTTAAATGTAGCTATTCTCCTATTTTTACTCCCACTAATATTGAATTATGATTGTTTCCTTTCATTACTGACTTTAACAAAATTAGTTTACGATTTTTACTCACTTTAACGTTGCTATTAAACTTATTATTTACTGAATTTCCGTCATAATTCATATGGACGCTTTTACAGCTATAAATTATATGAACAATTGATCGATTTCACAAAGAAAAAAACCATAAGTCTCGTGCTGTTTTTTTTTGTTCGTTGTTTGTTTATCTCATGAGGTTTTTCTTATTTGATAGAAATTATTAAAAGAAAAAACATCATAAATGGTCCCTGTGGTTTTCCAAAATCTGAAGTTCAGTCCCCGTGGTTTAAAAACCCCATAAATGGTCATTGTGCTTTCAAAACTTTTGACGACTAGTCCTTATTGCTGACTCCGTTAAGTTTATCCGTTAACTGAAAGGACATTTTCGTCATTTCACAACCACAGGGACCATTTATGACATTTTCATTTATTAAAAAAAAAAGAAAAAAATGCACAAGGGGTCCCACCCACACTATCTCTCTCTCTCTCTCTCTCTCTCTCTATCTCTCTCTCTCTCTCTCTCTCTCTCTCTCTCTCTCTCTCTCTCGGATCAGACCTAACTATTGCATAGTCCATCTCTTTCCTCCACTTCCTCATCATCGCTTTGATCAATGTCATTCTTCCTCGATGATTCTTCCCCGGAATTCCAAAGAAAAATAATAACAAAAAGGATTCTTCATAGAGTCTTCTCCCGTTGAAAATACATTGGATCGATGCTCAAGAAATACAACACCAACGAGAGCTTCCACAAAGATCCCTTTTTGTATCTTTTTGTGGAGTTCTTAAAGGATGAAGAACTAATGAAGGGGTCAAAAATCGATTTTCAGTTCAGAAACAAACATATAAAATCGATTGTTCTTGAAGAGAAAAAAACCAGAAAATCAATTGGTCCTTAAGAGAAAGAAAGAAATCCAAAGCTGATGAACATACATTTCATATCCACCCAGAACACATTAACATAAACATTCACACACATATATACCCACACATGTTTAGCTTTTCAAATACGAATTCATTCTAAATAGCCCTGACCCTAGTGCAGATCTGGAAAACTCCTCCAAGTTTAAAACCCTCAACCCAGGTGGAGTCCGGTGATTTCTATGTGGAGAAGGAGGTGGTTGCAGGTGGTGGTGGCGGACAATGGTGGTAGTCGAGAAACTCCTAAAGCATATGGACCACCTCCTACATGACATCATTCATTACAATCATACTGACCTTGCTTCGTCCCCAACTAAATCGAAACCACCGCCGTCGAAATTAAGGTTTGCAGATCGGAGTTAATAGGCAGCTTCAACTCCATTGTGTGCGACTCGAAGGCCACTCGTCTGATGGGTACGCGAAGAGAAGATCGTTGTGTGTGTATGTTCGTCAGTGTGTGTGTCGATCATTAGGAGGCTGAGCAAAGGGGAATATGTTGAGAGAGAGAGAGAGAGAGAAGTGGGACCCTTTTGCATATTTTTTTTTAATAAATGAAAGTATCATAAATGGTCCCTGTAGTCGTGAAATGACGAAAATGCCCTTCAGTTAACGGACAAACTTAACGGAGTTAGCAATAAGTACCAATCGTCAAAAGTTTTGAAAACACAAGGACCATCTATGAGGTTTTTAAACCACAGGGACTGAACTTCAGATTTTGAAAAACCACAAAGACCATTTATGATGTTTTTTCTTATTAAAAAGTTTAATGTTAGCTATGAAAAATAATATTAAAAGAAAATAGGCATCTGTAGAATTCTCTATGCCTTCCTTTCTTCTCCTAATTTACATATGTGATTGCTGAAACCAATTTGCTTATAGTTTTTTGAGTTAGACGTGTTTAAAGAATATGATTAAAAAGAAGAAACCTAAATTCGTTAAGGATGGAAATAAAGGAAACAATAATAAACCGAAATATCTAAGGTTAAAAATAGGATGGAAATAATACCAAATATCTAAGATTGTTTTATTTAAGAGTTAAGATTTGTAATTAAACTACGTAGTTTTAAGTCTATACGATGTAGTATTGGTAGTTCTATATTTAAACTTACATACAACACAATCAAATATTCTCTTTGACATATATATATATATATATATATATATATATATATATATATATATATATATATATATATATATATATATATATATATATATATATATATAGGTTTATGTATTCTAACTATTTATTGTATGGATATAGAAATCATTGTGGACCAAAGGAAAAAATAAATTATTATTAAAACAAATAAGGATAGGTTGGTAATTTCCTTTAATTCCATAATTATTTTCCTATAATTATGGTTTGATATATTCTAACCGTAATAATCTTTTTCCCCGCTTTCTCTAAAAATTGTTGGCCTTTTTTTTTTTTTTTTTTTTCCTCCAGAGTCTAGACAACCTGATCCGCCGCTATATACATCTCCGACACATTACAACATGAGCGAGAAGGATCGATAGAGATTCAGTAAAAACAAAAACCCTCATTTAGTATGTGTTTTCATTCCATTGTGGACGAAAATAAAAATCAAGTCTCCTTTTATAAGGTTCGTCCCTATTATGTTATAATTAATTGTTTTTAGTTTTTAAATCCATACAATGTTTATATATTAATATCATCATGATGGGAAGCATCGTGGCTTAGAGATTTTGGTGGACAAAAAAATTGTTTTTTTTCCTTTTTATTTTTTAAAACCATATTACCTATGGTTTATAATTTCCTTAGAAATCAATCTTTTATTTATTTATTTATTTATTTATTTATTTATTATTGACTAGTATCTCATTTTTTTATATTAATTATAGACTAGGAAACGTAAGGAGTCTGTGGATAATTGTTTTGAATTGTTAGAATATATTTTGAAATGAATCACTAAAGTTTGTAAGGGTATTTTATTGTAGGATTTGAGAATGTATATTTTTTATCAGATATATGAATATTACATATATTAGATGATGAAGATAAATGTGTTTTCACATAATTTTATTTTTACAAAATTTAATTCTCGTCCGATGTTAGTCTCACAAAATGTAATTCTCGTATGAAGGGTTGGAATCAAGTCAAACTCTGGACCAATGAAGAAGATTAATTGTATTTATTCGAGAATTGTATATTTAATCATGCTATGTTTTCTATGAATTTATTTTATTTTTATGACATTCAGATAGAATATGTATAATTATATTTAAATGTATAAGACTATTATTCTGTAAGAATATGTATGAATCTACATTAGATGTCTATAATTATACAAGGATCTTGTTATTTTTTAACTAATGGTTCAAGAATGTTATATGTCTTCAAGAAGTTAATTTAATCAAAATATGTATTCTATAAGAAATATGTATGCTGACATTTTTATAGAATATCATTATGACCCAAGAAAACCGGGTATAATTACAAATTACGTTAGAATTAAAATTAAATTAACTAAAAAAAAATAATTTTTAAATCAAGAGAATTAACTATCCCCAAAATTTTGGAAATTTCCCTTTTTATTTATCTCATTTGACAAGAATACCCTT